CTCACCTTTCGGAGTCTTGCAAGCAGACCTGCTACATGTTCGTGCTGTTCTGATTTAGCAAGCTCTTCTGCTGTCTTCCCATCCTGTTGGGAGAACAATGATTAGTGTCTTTCCTTCACAGGAGAGCTGTTTGTTCCATGCACGGGTTCTGCTGTCGGAGGCAGAGACAAGAGTTAACAGGCCTTAGAAACAAAAAACGTGGACAAACAGAGGGTCCTGGATTCTTTCTCTTTCTGCACAGTCCTTATTTCATTTCCTTATTGGTTGTCCAGGGAAGGAAGGTGAGAATTAGAAAACAATTGTGCACTGGTGTGTTGAACTCCATCGGTGAGACGTCTCAGACCCAAATGCTGAACCTCTCTCCAATAAAACAGAAAATGAGGACTTCCAGAGATGCCAATTCTAGTTAGTGCTAGCTAATGTCTTCAAATCCTTCCATGGACAAACCTGAGCACTCATATAGGATGCTAATTACTGGTAATTACTGTGCAGTTCAAAGAAAAGCCTTAGTTTTACTGACAATTTTGATCTGAAGATTTTCAGTGAACATAAGAGGAGGAAATCAGAGTTCACAGCGCCTTTTAACTGGAGAATTTTCATAAGGCTGCAGTTTCACAGCGAGCAAATTCATTTCCATTTCTGTGCCAGCAATAAGCAGGACCCTGCCTAACACGTATTGAGCGCCTCCTAATCTCATGCGCCTGGTCCAGTTGTCTGTGCTTTGTGCACATGAGCCCTCGGAGTCCCTCGGGGGAGGTGGGGACTATGGCTGTTCATGTGCCACCGAGGAGGAAACAGAGGCTTAGGGACTGTTCTGCTACAGTTTTAAAGTCATTACAAATTCGAAGTAGAAAAGGCGAGAAGCAATTTCTGTGCAAATAAAAGCAATCTCTTTTCAACAAGATTAAGAAGCATTTTGGATCCATCTCTCACTCAGGGTTTATCAGTACCAGTTAAAGCTCCATTCCCGTGGAAGCTCAGAGATGCCCGAGTCTGATTAACAGCACAGCTTCTAACCTCTCCACCCAAGTCATCATCCGAGCCATGCGTGGGGTTTCCTGAGACCAGTGTTTCTCAACATCGGCACTGCTGACATTTTGGACCAGATAATTCTCTACTGTGCAGGGCTGTCCCGTGCACTGCAGGGTGATGAGCGCATCTCTCTCTGGTCTCTGCAAGGATCGCCTTCCCCAATTCGTGAAAACTCAGGGTCTTCAGACATGGCCAAGTGTTCCCTGGGTGGCGCGAAATCACCCCAGTGGAGAACCGCTGCCTTAGGCTGAAGCTGGAAGCTCACATGAGTGCTCCAAGGAGGAGGTTTCACAGTCACGCTGCCCATCTCGCTCTCCCTTGGGGTCCCCAGATGTCTCCAGTGAGACAGTCATCTTGTTGACCTGCAGGGGGCAGCGGAGGACAGGCCAGAGCAGAGTGAGCAGCTCCTTGGTCCTTAGCGCACATTTTATATATATATATATATAGAAAGGAGGAGTTCCTCTCTAGACATTTCATGGCCATTGTTGTTTTCATGGAAAGACATGTCTTTGTCGCTCTTGTTTAAACGTCAACATGCGCGTCCACGCAGCACCTGCAGACTGTCCTCCTGCCTCATTCCCACGCATCTCAGGTAGAAGGTGACACAGCTGTAGGTGAGGAAGGTCTGTGGGAGAACTCAGAACACCCCTGACCCGTGATGTGACAGTCCGTTGTCACTGGTGCACAGAAGATGATTTTCACATTAGGTCCTGGTTCCATAACTTCCTGTCTGTGAAGTCTATCAAAGAAGGTGAAGGTTAGCAAGATTTCCTGCAGTGATTTTAAATTGTGATAGAGTTTTAAATAGATATGAGGGAACGTGTCCTAATTCTTCTGTCCTGAGAAGCATGTAATTTTAATTTTATGACATCTGTCATGTATCTACCTACATGCAGTGTGTATATACATGTATATCAATAGGGTTATTTTTACTTAATCTATAAGGTATAGTCAAGAAGTTGTTGGTTTGGCTTTTCTTTTTTTGTTATTTCTTTTTCCTTTCCTTTTTTTTTTTTATAAATAAAATGCTCCTTGTTTCATTAGTTTGTTGAACTTTCATTCAAAAGGAATCCTTTATCTCTGTTTTGTTTTCACCCAGCAGTACCCCACAGAGCAGGCAAACCACACTGAAGCCCAGAAAGTCCGTGAACCTGAACCCCCGTATGGAAACACCAGCTTATCTGGGGTGTGTTATTACTAAAATTGGGAATGGTACGGGGAAATGGGAAGAGCCCAGAGGATTTTCAGATTTGTTCTCACTCGAAGAAGGGAGCCCCTTCCACTGTCCTTGTGTGACCCAAACACACGCGGAATCCTGGAGGCCCCGCGCGGGCATTCAGGGAGCTTTCTCAGTCTGTACAGACATGCGGGGAACGGCCCGCAGGAGCGAGAGCAAACCTCCCGCTCGAGGTGCCCAGCTCCCGCCCTTCCTTCCACCCAGAGCCCCGCCCCGCTGGAAATCAGCTTTGACCTGCGTGGTAGCGCTCAGTGACAAAACCTGCATTTAGGGGGCGCCTGGGTGGCTCAGATGGTTAAGCATCTGTCTTTGGCTCAGGTCATGATCCCAGAGTCCTGGGATCCAGCCCCAAATCTCCTTGCTCAGTGGGGAGTCTGCTTCTCCCTCTGTCTGCTACTCCCCCTGATTGTGCTCTCTCTCTCTGACAAATAACATCTTAAAAAAAAAAAAAAAAAAAAAAACCTGCATTTAGTAAAATCTCAAGATTTTAAACAAAAGAAAAAGGATTTGAAGGAAAACACTAAAATGGTAACGATTTTCTCCGTGGGTCTGGGAATACAGTCCACTTCTGTTTTGCCCAAACTGCCCACAATAAACACAGTCTATGTTATAATGAGAAAAAGAAACATAAATGAAACAAAACTAAAAACCACACGGAGACATGCCTGCAAAGGGCAGCACTGAGATTGAGGCTGTGGTCGCCTCACAAGAGGGGACGTCGTTGTCTTGTGTCACTTCACTCTCTCCTGCTTCGAAGACAGCGTCACAGGGGAGGGACGCGGCACCGGGACGCTGGGACCCAGAATGTTGGTCTCTGGCAGCATCTGTATGTAAATCCCAGAGAAGGATCTGGTCCCGCATGGGTCCCCGAGCAGCCCTGCACAGAACATGGAGGGCGGGGAGGTGGAGTCTGCGACAGTCTGGCCCCGGGGACCCTGGGGCGAGTCTGGGAAAGGAGCCATTCTTCCCAAGAAGGGAGTTGTGTTAACAGGGGAAAGGGGCAGAGGGAGGATGCTGGGCAAAGAAAAGCAAAGGACTGCAAGAGTCTGTACTTGTCTTTGATGCAGGTGCTGGGATTGGAACATGTTCCAAAGGATGTGGCCACCTGGGCTCTCGCAATGTTGAAGCCATAATGGGAACCATTACAACCCAAATCTGAATGGCTTAAGGACCACGGAGCTCCCTGCCCCATTCTGGGAAAGACCATGGGGAGCCTCCTGGGGGGCTTTTGGAGTCTTGAGAGCATGAACTCAGGTGAGGCTGGAAGTGTCTGGCAAAGTCCCATCCTGGGCAGCCAGCTCCGCCTCCTGCAGGAGGGAAGAAACCAGAACACAGCTCCCCTCCTGCCGCCACAGAGAGACTCAGATGGTGCAAGGTCCTGGGAACCACAAAGACAAGCCTCATGGGATCTTTTTCTTAGTGTTGCAGTGAAGTGCACTCGGGAACAGGCTCCTCACCCCCTCTGGGCGGTGCTGCCCTTGGTACAAAGCCCACTCCTGGGCTGCCCTGTGGTGCCCGAGGTCTCCATATGCACAGGAGCTTCCCAGGGACCGAAGGCTGTGTGGAGTGTGCTGGAGGCCACTGTGGGAGTTCTGCTCGGCTCCAAATCTGGATGGCACATTTCAAAAAAGAATCAAAACTGTTGGTGGAGGTTCTGGTGGACAGTTTGCAGAAAGGGGTTTAATTACAACTAGAGGATTCCCTGAAATGCCAAAACCACATTTGGCCCCATCGATGTCCAGAGTCCACAGGGGTCTTACAAAACCTTGACGGTGTGACCCTAGAAAAGCCACTCCAAAGTGAAGGGCTGACCTAGCTCTTACTACATGCACAGCGGCGACGTGCCTGTCAGGCGGGAAATCTGAGAAGGTGGTCAGGAGATCTGAGCTTAAAGTGGAAAGCCTTAGTGAAAGGGAAAACGATAGTTTCAGTTTGGAAGATGAAAACGGTCTGGGGACGGATGGTGGTGACAGTGCCCAGCGCCGTGCGTGTGCTCGCTGTCCCTGAGCCGTGCAGGGAAATGTGGCTCAAATGAACAATTTTATATTCTATTTTGCTACAACACTTTTAAGTAGAGAAAATACATAAAGCTGGAACGTAAATATATCCAGGTAACAATAAAGCTTGCAGAGGAATGTGCCAGATTATCCATTGTGTTTAGAGCATCCAGCAAAGCAGGATCCCCAAAAGGGGGGATGGAAAAAAAGATTTTGTTTTGGAAGAATTTCATGTTTATTATTTCAAAAAATATTTTCTTTAAAGTGGTATCATAGGAAGAACAAGTAAGAATTTTGTTTGGCTTTTTTTCTCTTTTTCCTTGCTATACAGTCTTTCCCCCCTCAGTTTCAATTCATTCGTGGGCTAGTCTTTCATATGCCGTAGTCTTTTCAGGACTTTGGATTCTTGAGGACACTATCAGGCCAAACTTTATGAGGAGTAATGTTGTCTGATTGATTATCCCCCAGACGTCTGCTGAACACCTATTAAGAGCACTTGCCCCCAGCTCACAACAGGGACACAGAGACAGGTGACCACGCACCTGCTCACCCAGGTCGGTCACGGGGCTTGAGCCAACTGCCGCCTGAAAAATTGGCTCCTAGGGGCTATTTCCAGAGACTATAGCTGTGCTTTGGGTGAGGTCAGACTTTATCTTTGCAACCAAAGGTCACGCGCTGCTGAGAGGCTGGAGCCTCAAATCCCTCAGGCCCGGGACTCAGAAGCTTTCAGAGCTGGGCCAGGACAGGGACGGGAGCGCAGGTCCTGGCGGAACACCCTGGAGGACGGAGGGTCAGGGAGGAGCCCCTGAAAGGGGGTTTTAAGGAGTAGTCAGCCCCCTCCCATGGCACCCCTGGAATGTGCTTGTGGCGGAGCCAGACATGCCCCAGGGGACAGCCGCTAATCTTCCAGAACCCGCAGCCTCAAAGGCTGGCTGGTGGTGTCGGTAGGTCACAGGGCCAAGTCTCTGCTGCGAAAGGATGGGGAAGAGTGTGGGCGTGGGGAGGAGGGGCAGGAAAGAAGTTCCACAGGAACCTATAGCAGAGGTCCCCCGGGATGGGGCTGTGATGTGCCCTCACCGTTGGGGCTGATGTTTGGTGAGGGGGGCCTGCCCGGGGGCCCAAGGCTGTCACTCCAGCCTGTGGGGCTCCTGCTGGGGGCACAGAGCAGGATCTGAGTTCAGCTCTTGGCGGATAATGTGCCTTGTCTCCTGAAATCAGAATTTTACAACTAAAAGGTAGTTACAGAGAGTTTGCTTCAACCTCAGTCTTTGGGGTCTGGAAACAAAGCGTTTAAGAGATTTAGACAAAATCCTACTACCAAATTATTAACAATTCACACTAAGTATCAGGCCATCTGCCCGCCCCTGGGGGTCCGTTATTCTCCTGTGCTAAGTCTTTATATGGCAATGTAGCGTGTGTGTATCAAGTTGTACACATTTATGTGTATACTGTGTAACTGTGTATGCGTATGTGTGCATCTGTCTATATATGTTTGTGTGTGTGGATTGTGTGTATTGTGTATAAGCACATGTATATTTGTGTCTGTGTCTCATGAGGTAAAGGATTCTCTGGCCCTGAAGACCTGTTCTCCTGGCCCAGAGCCTTGACCCTGACCGATGCATCCACGGGTGCCGGTTTCCCACGGTCAGGGAGACAAACAGAGCCGGGTGAGGACTATCTTCTTCCCCACAACCCCATACCATCCCCGCCCCTCGGGGAGCCCATGGGGTTCTGCAGAGCCTCGGGTTGCATGAAGCCAGTGCTGATGAGCATCTTTCTGCCTTCCAAGAAGGGAAGACCAGTCACCCTCGAGCGAGGCTGGTGCTGATTCCTGTGAATCATGTGATTCTGTGACCAGTCGTCCCATGAGAAGCCTGGAATTTATTGCTGACAGTCCAGCATGCTAAAAGTCAGCATCCGAAATCCTTTAGACTCAACCCTCCCTGGAGCTCAGGAAATGGCCCTCTTGGATTTTGGGGCAGTTTGATGTAATGGAAGTTTTTATTATCTTCCGTTTTTTTCCTAGACGTATTTTAATGTAACTTAAATCATATAAAATGTACTATTTTATATCCTGCTTTTTTTTTTTACTTAATGTGTTATAATAGCAATAATTCAATGTTACTCAAAGCTCTTCAGACAGAGTACAATGCTAACAGCTGCATACTCTGACGGTGTGGCCATGTCTCAATTCCCAACCCTGAGACACTCAGTCATTCTTCCCTATTATAAATACAACTGGGATAAACACTTTCATGAACTTTTTTTCCTGCATTTTGGATTGGAGGTGAAACTTCTTTTTTGTTGTTTTTTGGTTTTTGTTTTGTCAAATGACAATTAAAATCCAACGAGAGAAGCACTTCTTGCTGAGGGAAAAATTGCATTTGTATTGCTCTCTCTCTCTCTCTCTGGTTTTCATTTTTCCCAGAAAAAATTATTATATGAATAAACTGTTGACACACCTTCTAATACCTTTAATACAGTTTTTGCTACCTATAACAGATTTTATAACACCACTCTGAGCGAAACAAAGATTATTCTATCATCCCAACATCATGAGAGATTAAAATGATTAGTTAATAATTATAATTATTGATAGTTTAGAAAACTTGCAGCTTCAAAACTCATTTTTGGAAATGCCATGAGCATTTTTAGGATTGGTTTCAAATCTGGGGAACCCTCATCACGTTTTATATTTTTTTCATATGTAAGCTGTAGGGTTTCCTGACATGTGGAAATTAGTGACTCATCAGAATACTCGTTGAATTGACAACACTATTAACCAGTCTGTGGTTGTCCGTGTCCTTCTCTGTCTGGTTTGAGAGGCTGAGTTCCACTGCAGGATCCCTTCACTGAGGACGCAACCTCACTAGGGCTCTGGGCTGTTCTCTGTGTGAGGTTCCCCTGCCTCCTGGCTCAGGTCCCCACTTCTCCAGCGTCCTCACATCCCCACACCTGGGAGCCAGCCACCCAGCCGGGACCCTGCCCACCTTGGCACTGGGAAACTACTGGGGGACCTTATCAGTCAACATAGCTGTAAGCAGTGAGGACCCCACTAAAGACCCTTCCATGCAGAGAACACCCAGCCGCAGGGCCCACATGCAGAACTGGTTATCTGGTGGAATGTTCTGGTTTGTGACTTTATCTGATTGCTTTCTCCTGGTGACATCTAACTTATCCCCCGTAAACTGGACAAAGGTGGACTTCAGGCTTGATGAGTTTCATTCATCATTTTGGTAGGAGTGCTGTCCTGAAAATAAGAAATAAAAATAAATTTTACTACTGTTTGCCTCCAAACTCTGGAGCCTGAAGCTCCCACACTTTGGGATTTTCAAGGAGTAGTAATATTTCATAAAGAACACGGGTGACTGACACTTTGTTTTCCCAAGTAAGACCACTCAGAATAGAGCAAGGGCTGCTTGCTGTTGTCACCAACATCGCAAAACACATTTCTGAAACATTGTAATGCCATGAAGAAGAGAAAGAGTAGATTTTGAAAACAAGGAGTGTTAGAGTCTTAGAATAATGGATATATCTTTCTATTGAATAATTTATCCTAAAAAAAATCATCCAGTGGTCCTTTTTTTCTCCAAGTCACTAGACTAGTGACCAGACTGTTGTGGGCAGTGTGGCTGTCAAGTTTGTTATTGTTTGTCCAGACACTGTGCATAGAAATGCAGGGCAAGCCCCACAGGCCCCTTTCCATGAAGTATTTCGTGGCCATGGGGATTCCATCCCCTGACACGTACCCTTGAGCAGTCTAGTAACACCATTTGGCACAGCCTGGATTGGATTTGTGCCTGACTGCTTGGATTCCTCGGAGCTCACTGAGCACGCCACTGTGCAAATCATGGGCCATCAACTGAGAACAGTCCCCTTTGCAACAGGAATGCACACAACTTGGATGGAAGAGAGTCGGGTGTGGGAAAGGAGTTCCCCAGCCAGGACGCAGGAACCCGAAGCTGAGCACACACGGCTGATGAGACACAAATGTCTTAAACTGTTAGAGAGACTGTAGAATTTTCTTTTTATGTTTGTCAACCTTCATCGTGTTAGCGGCTAAGTAAGACTTGAACTTAAGGTGATTCCACTGGAATTATAGGAATGGCCTAAGGAGAAGCTATAACCTTAATTTCCCACATTCCAGCAACCCTATACATTTCCTTGCACTTTCTGGGACATAATGAGTCCCTTTCATCTTCAACTGTGACTAACCCTGCCCTTGGGTATAATTACTACCCATACTATCAAGAACTATCATAGGGGCACCTGGGTGGCTCAGTTGGTTAAGCGACTGCCTTCGGCTCAGGTCATGATCCTGGAGTCCCGGGATCGAGTCCCGCATCGGGCTCCCTGCTCGACGGGGAGTCTGCTTCTCCCTCTGACCCTCCTCCCTCTCGTGCTCTCTGTCTCTCATTCTCTCTGTCTCAAATAAATAAATAAAATCTTTAAAAAAAAAAAAAAAAGAACTATCATATCCCTGTATTATTCTTAAAATAAATCTGACTTGGAGCCACTCGTGCCAAATTCAGCCTCCTTCATTCTTTAAGAAGTCTCTTCTCCCTCCCATGGCTGTGCAAGGGCCCTGGGGTCTTATGAGCAGTCTGTCTTTGCTAGTCTTGGTCACTTTAAATACGTGATCTTCACGCCTCTTTGCCAAAGGCTGGGCTGGGAATCTTCCAGAGCCCACCAGCCATGCATGAGTATAGGCATCAGTGTAAGCACGCTGTTCCCCTCAGAGGGACCTCCTGCCCCTCTCCCTGTGTCAGGGAGACACTTTTCCCCTCTTCCCCCCACTCCACTAGGCAAAGTACACTTATTCGTGCATGCAATGACCTTATGTGAGGTTTTCAGATTGGGCCCTAGGATTAGGAAATCTTTTTCTCTCTCTCTTTTTTTTTTTTTTAAGATTTATTTATTTATTTATTTGAGAGAGAGAATGAGATAGAGAGAGCATGAGAGGGGGGAGGGTCAGAGGGAGAAGCAGACTCCCTGCTGAGCAGGGAGCCCGATGCAGGACTCGATCCCGGGACTCCAGGATCATGACCTGAGCCGAAGGCAGTCGCTTAACCAACTGAGCCACCCAGGCGCCCTTTCTCTCTCTTTAAACTTGGTTTCCAGGGCCCTCCTGGACTCAGGAATTCTAATTGGGATGTCAAGTGCCGAACAGTGACTCTCTCCTCTTGCATTCCTATTGTTAAAATTCTGATCGTCTATGAGACAAGCATGTTCCTGGCTATAGAGGGTACATGTCCCTAGAAAAGAAATACAAATAAGAAACTAACACTGACATTTCAGAAAATCTCACTCCCCTTGACACAGGTCTGCAGGTGGCTACAGGGCCCCTTAAGCATCGGATACAGTCTCCCCACAGCCCTGCCACCCCGCTCCAGGACCTGCTCTAGAAGAAATAACTCAAGCATGGGGGACTTCTGCTGGGGCAGAGGGTGGTGGTTCCTGCAGGGAGAAGAGAAGTTCTCCCCAGAAGTCAGCGCACAGTCACAGAACACAGGAAGAACTTTCCAGAAATGTTTAAATGGACATAGTGGCAAAGGGCTAGAGACTGTACCTAGGGTAATGACTTTGTGGGGGGGCCAAGGGGAGGGGTGCGGTCCCTTGGTTGCTGTCCCTAGGACTGTAGCATGAAGCATTAACTATTGTCCTCATCAATTCTCTTTAATGATCTTTACTGATGGCCAGCCTCGGGTCTGGTCTGGCCCAGCCCTGCGTGCTGCCTTGTCTGGAGTAACAGCTCCTGAGATCAAACCCTGTGTCCCTGCTTACCAGCCGGGGAAGCTGCCAGACTTCTCCCAACATCAGTTCATTCATCTGGAACATGGGATAAGCGGTATTATGGTGATCAAAGGTCACCACCCAAAGCAGAGTGTTGGTGAGTGAGCCATACATCCCAGTTGTCTGCTGATTTCAAGAAGCCACAAAGAAGTTGAGCAGAATTTTGGACACATTTTTTTTTCCCTTTTTTGCTCACCTGTACTTTCTAAGTTTTTCATAATGATTAATCGTTTTGTTTTCTAATAAAGAAAAGAAAAGAAAAAAAACCAGAAGGAACTAAAGAAAAAGAAAGAGAAAAAATTGCTGGAAGGACAAAGGCCAAGGTCCCTCTGAGAATCCATGAAAACAGTTGCTACCATGTTGTACATGAAAGCTCTAATGGGAGGAGACAAGCCAGGGCAATGATGCATTATTGTCCCATCCCCAGGAACATGACATGGGACTATGTGACATTGTTGCTCATGAGCCAGGTAACTGGTTTGGTTAATTGTTCCATTTGTTAATTAAACATTCACATACTCTGTATTTTTACAACAAACCACCACCTTCTCCACTAGAGTGTGAATAGGTCAGGATCTAGAAACTGAAAGTTTAAGGCAACTGTTCACTCATGTTTGCTGGCAAGTCCAGTTTGCCAGGACCAATTGGAGAATGAATCCACTAGACGTCTACAAAGTCATTTTTGACTTGCCTATTATGTTTCTGAGATACAAGAGAAAATGGGGAAGAACACCAGTTTCCCAGATGGATCGCCCATGAGCAAGGTTCACCAAGGCAAGGCCTGGACTCAGCGGTGCATTTTGCCCAAAAATCCGCCCACAGATGACCAATTTCAGTGCATCATGCGACTCAACAAGCAGGGCATAAAGCCATGATGATGGAAGCTGCTTTGGTTGAGAGACTCCAAGATCACCTTAGTCCTTGACTCTCCATCCAACCTTGAGCACAGAGCACCCTGAGGCAGCATGTTGGAATGGCTCCCGCTGAGTATCTGTTCGAAATCCTCTGTCCATCTCTGCTGGGTCCTGTGACCTCAGGTGCTCGGCCCTCCCCAGACCCAAAGGGCTTGTCATCTGTCCTATTATGTCTGGATTGTCTGATATTCTAAAACCATAAGTGTTACATCTTAGGATATGATCCAACAAGGGTGTTTTGATAAGAACTCTCTTAAATTCCAGAACATCTTTAAGAATAATAATAGTGGCTTCATGTTAGGGACTGTATATTAACCACTATATAATTTATCCTCTATAATCCTTACAATACCCCTTAAAAATGGGCATTTTTAATCCCTTTTGACAGGTGAGAATATAGACCCTACAAGGTGAAGTGTCTTGCCAAAGTTACATGACTGTTGAGAGGCAGAATCAAAATTTGACCTGAAAACTATGTTGTCTTAAAATCAGTGGCCCGACTTAGTAAATATTTCTCTGTGTACCCTGTGTCTTGCCTGCCAAGCATCATGTTCACCACTCACCTGACATACGATTGGCCCAAATAAATATTTGTTCAATGAATAAACACTATCTCCCCTGCAGACCTAGGGAACAGAGGCATAATTTTGGAATGACAGATCATTTACATTGTATTTCATTGTTTTGTATTTTCAATATTAGGGCCAGTTGCCTCTGGGCCCAAGGAGTCCAGCCAACTCTGTAGCTTCTACAAAAGTGGGGATGCCTTGTTGCATTGCAGAAGTATTTTGTGTCAAAACTTCTGTAAGATTTCTTTTTTCTTTCTTTAATACTCTTGAGCCTAGATTCATCAGCTCAAGTTGTTATAAATCTGGAAAACTCTGAATTAAGTAGAAAACATGTTTCTCAAAGGGGAAAATGTTTTTCAAGAGGGAAAACCTAACTCTAGCTTCAAATGGAAATTTCTTGCCCCAAACACTACTTTCTTTAAGAAATATGACTAGTTTAAAAAAAAAAAAAAGAAATATGACTAGCTTTGTCTTAATGTCATCCATGGGTTTTTGGTGACTTTCTAGAAAGGTTTTTGAATGTTTCTATTACCCACTCAGGACAGAACTGCTGAAGCACTAGGGAGCGTAAATGAGGTGGTCAGAGGGAGGAGGCTGATGACAGTGGGAAGGCTCAGCAGTGGCCCTTCAGGGCTGTGTCAGTGTGAGGAGAAGGCCCCACCCACATACCCCAGGCAGGAAGGGGCAGCAGGGCCAGTCCCTCAGACCTCATGTCACGGGAGAAAAGATTTGACCTTCCTCCCACAGTTGAGAGTCATTATTAATCAAGTTGAAAGTACAGATGCATTCTGTCCCTTATCCACCCAACTGCCCCCCAAAACAGAAGCCCCGAGTAATGTTGGCTCGCCCTGATCTAGGAGTCAGCTCAGTCAAATATATTCTCATCTTCAATTCTGCTGAAAAATGTTAGGACATTCCCCAACTAGTGACAACCCTTCCTGTTTGTGTTCCTTAAATTTTTAATTATATAAATTTACATTTGTATATTTTGTATGTTTTCCTCCATTTAAGATATTTTCACAAACTGTCATTTAAATCCTGACATTAAATGTAAATTAAAGTAATAATCATTGAAGTAAAGGTAAGTAAGACAATTTCTTAAATTAAATCTGAAGAAAAGCACATTGGATACTGAGGAACATGATAATCCATAATGCAGAGAGTCAGGAGGAAAAAGCAGTTTCTACATTCCGCCTTTTTTCCTTTTATTAAGCCAGATTTCTCTGTAAATAACACGTTCCTGTCATTTTTGAGAAAGGCTTGAGAGGGAAGAAGAATGGGGAAGTCAGGACAGGAGCGTTACAAAATGCCAAACCTTCCCTGGACACCGCTCCCATCAGTCCCTTTCCTTGAAAGCACGTGAGCCTTGCCCAACGCATCCCCTGTTTGGAGATTTCCAGTCCTCTCCAGAATTTTTCCATAACCCAGAGGCATCCCACCCTGAAACAGTCATAACACATTCCCCTGTGGGCTCTGCTTTCTCCACCTGCCCCACCTTTGCTCAAAAATAAACAGGAGCCACCACTAGGCTAGATAATCCTGTTCTCAGCCCTCGAGGAGATTTTAACCAAAGACTTTGGGACTGAAGGATACTCAGGGTGACGCTCGAAACCCACTTGGGTCTCCCTGTGAACTTCTTTTCGTGAACCGCCTGCCAACACATAAATTCCTGCTAATTAGTTGATCCGGGTCCCTAGGGAGGGACTGGATTCCCTCCTCAGTCCTGTCCGTGGTCCCCCAGCTCGCCTCTCGCGGGTCCACTGAGGCAGGCTTGTTCAGCTGTCCCCACCTTCGCGGAGCTCCAGGGCACAGAGGCCCCGCCCACAGGCTGGCTCAGCCACTCGCAGCCTGAGCAGGCGTTGGGGGCGGGGCTGACCGGGCCGGATCCCGACCCTAAAAAGGCGGCTTCGACCCACTGCCAGGCCTTCTGGACGGCAGGACGCGCGTCTGTGATCGAGACTGCGCAGCTGCACGGCCACAGGTGGTGGTCTCGTGCGGAGCCTGAGCCGGGGGCCGTCGCAGAACCAGCGCGGCCGCCTGCCTTGGGGGTCAGGGGTTCGGGGCTCCCAGGAGGCGCTGTCCCTGCGCTTGACCCCTCCAGACAGGGCAGCCTGATTCCCCTGACGCCTCGCTGTCAGGCCCCGCCCCTCCCTGTGCCAAGATGCAAGTCCCCCGGAAGCGGCAGGGGGGTCGCAGGGCGGGGAGCGGGGCAGCGGGCCCCCTGCACAGGCCACACCCTCAGCCTTCCTCCACCGCCCCGTGGAAACCCTCGGGAGGATCAAGTTCCTGTTTGGACTCCACCTTAGCGGCTCTAACATCGCGGAAGAAAGGAGCAGGGCTTTTTAGGTGGTTTGGTCTAAGCAGAAACCCGTGTGTTTTCCCTTCCTAGGTTTTGGAACATGCATCCTTCTCTCCTCCTGGCTGCCCTGTGCTTGGGAACAACCACAGCTGCTCCAGAAGCCGACCAGAGCTCAGATGCGCGCTGGTCCCGGTGGAAGGCGGCGCACGGGAAGCTGTATGACGAGGTGGGTAACCGCTGCGGCGTCCAGTGAGACCCCCAGGGGATGTTCTGTGCTGGTGCGAGCTCACAGCAGAGAGTAGCTGCTTGAGGCCGCTCTAGCCGAGGCGGTCAGCGGGGCACCGTGACTGCACAACGGTGGGGGCGTCTGTCCCGCTGCGTGGTTGCTGGAGAGCAGCTCCCGGAGCGTCCGCGCAGCCCTGGTCAGGGTTTCCCGTCCTCTCTGTCAGCGCATCCGTTTGGTGCAGGTGAGTTGGTTTTAAATAGAAACAAAGATGATGGGTTATATGTCTTTCTGCAGAATGAAGAAGGATGGAGGAGAGCAGTGTGGGCAAAGAATATGCAAATGATTGAACGGCACAATCAGGAATACAGCCAAGGGAAACACAGCTTCGCGATGGCAATGAACGCCTTTGGTGACCTGGTGAGGGTGGCATGGATTGCTGAATGTTTCGTGCGTCCTGTCCTCAGTACTTTACCAAAAAATCTGCTGCTTGTCAACATTCTATTTCCTTTTCCTTGAAGACCAGTGAAGAATTCAGGCAGGTGATGAATGGTCTTAAAATCCAGACGCGCAAGGAGGGGAACGTGTTCCAAGCACCTCCCTTTGCTGAGACCCCCTCCTCTGTGGACTGGAGAGAGAAAGGCTACGTAACCCCTGTGAAGAATCAGGTGAGACAGTATTCAGCAGGTCACCCTCAGGAGTAAAGGTGAAAGGAATCCATGTCCTTGCTGTGGTCGGCTGAGAAGCGTGTGCAGCTCACGATGTTTTAAGAGTTTTCGGATCTGTGGGTGCTGTCAAATCTTGATATTTGTTTTGTAGTCTTGGGTTTTTTTATTTGGTTTCGGGGTCTGTGTGGTTCTTGTTGGGCCTTTAGTGCAATGGGTGCCCTCGAAGGACAGATGTTCCGGAAAACTGGCAAACTCGTGTCACTGAGTGAGCAGAACCTGCTGGACTGCTCTCGGTCTCAAGGCAATGAGGGCTGCCGTGGAGGCCTGATGGATTATGCCTTCCAGTATGTGAAGGACAACGGAGGCCTGGACTCGGAGGAATCCTATCCATACTGTGCACAGGTAAGTAGTGCTCCTTACCTGTGCTTCCAGCTCTGCTTTTTGGAGTTGAACACACTCAAAGAAAACAGACACCATATTTAATATTCACAGTTTAAACTGTAGACCCTACACTTGCAAACCGTCAGAACCATCATTAAACCATATTAGCCGGGCACAGTTCTCTCCTCGATGGTTACCATATAACTGTTCCTATTTCTATGTTATGTGGCCATATATATACCATTCTATATACAGTACAGATTTCTCCAGAATGAAGAAACTTCTTACGGACAGGTAGACTGAGAGTGTCTCATGAAATACACACCAGCTAATGTTTCTTTTTTTTTTTTTTTTAAGATTTTGTTTATTTATTTGAGACAGAGAGAATGAGAGACAGAGCATGAGAGGGAGGAGGGTCAGAGGGAGAAGCACACTCCCTGCCGAGCAGGGAGCCCAATGCGGGACTCGATCCCGGGACTCCAGGATCATGACCTGAGCCGAAGGCAGTCGCTTAACCAGCTGAGCCACCCAGGTGCCCACCAGCTAATGTTTCGATTTCAAAACAACCCCTGGCATTTCAGCTCCTGGGATGCTTCATAATGAACTTGGCTTGGGAATCATTTAGCTGCAAACTGTCTTGAACTCATGTTCCCCAGGAGGTGGATGGTAGCAATCAAGTCTCTTCCCCTTTCCCTTGGAAAGGACGGATCCTGCGAATACAAGCCTGGACAGTCTGTCGCCAGTGACACTGGCTTCATGGACAGCCGTCAGGATGAGGGGTCCCTTATGGTGGCAGTGGCAACTGTGGGGCCCATCTCTGCTGCGATCGATGCTAGCCTGGATACCTTCCAGTTCTATCATAAGGGTAAGCATCTGTCTACATACAAATTTAGGCAGAAAAATGGGAAAACCACCATTACATACAGTAAGACTGACTCTGGTGTGTAGAAGTCAATGTAGAGTTTTGGAGGGTGTAGATTTAACATAGTTGTCTTTTCTGCACATGTCATTTTTGTGCCTGTTGTTTCCATCAGCCATGACTTGACCCGTATCCCCGTGATTTTAAGTACATCATAAATATATTTAAATGGCTACATAATTCAACTGGTATGCCTTTATTTACTTTACTTTTTTCTAACTGTTACACCTTGAAACATTCCAAAGAATTTTACTACTGTTACTGAAACTGGAAAGAACCTCTTGGCTCAAGTAATTTTGTGTCCTGTGCTGTTTCCATAAGTTGACATGCTCAAAGTCGAATCACAAGGTGTCAGTGAGTGCTCTTTTATGTTTCTTGACAAGTTGTTTACAGAAGAGATTGTACCAGTTTGTCTTTCTGCTGATATTAGATGAGGGCCTAAATCCTTAGCCTAGCTAAAAAATAAAAATAAATAAAAATAAAAACTAATTTTTAAATCTTATCTGGGGTTATGTCATTTAACTGAATTTTGAAATGCCTCCCTGACTGTGGCTGATAGGCTGGGTTACTATCACATGTTCCCAGAGATCCTCACCCCAGCACTGAATTTCTCTTCTCCAGGCATTTATTATGATCCAAACTGCAGCAGCGAAGACCTGGATGACGGTATTCTGGTGGTTGGCTATGGCTCTCAAGGAGAAGAACCCAAGAACCAAAAATACTGGATTGTCAAGAACAGGTATAAAAAGCCAAGAATACTTATCTTTAAAGTTGAAAAGGGAATCCTTTTTGGAATCAATGTTTGGAGGCAGGTCCCCCAACTCTTGAGCACACTTCTGAAATCCCAGCAGTGTTTACCCCACTTAGCTGGAACACAGACATATTCACGTGATGACCACAGTAAGATACTGTCTCAAGCTTGCTAGGGTCCTGCGATAGTTTTGGTACCATTGCATTTCTAAATTGGAAATGTTTTCCTATTTCAGAAACACATCTGACCCTAAGCATTTTATGGTCTCTCATTTGTAGTCTGTGAAAGGTCTGAGGGTAGAATTCTGTGCTGGGTTAAAACTCAAGCATGAACAGGAACGGCCTCTCTGGATTCTTCCGGAATCTGTCCTGGCCTCTGGTGCATTGCTCAGTATCAGGTGTGATTGTTCTTACGGATAAATATGTTTATTCCTCTGATAAATGTCAAATGCTGTCTTCTTCCAGCTGGGGCACGGACTGGGGCATGCAGGGCTACATACTGATGGCCAAAGACCGGGACAACCACTGTGGAATCGCTACCTCAGCCAGTTTTCCCATTGTGTGAGCTGAAGGTATAAAGAAGACCTTGACTGGGGACAGAATATGCAGAAGAGGAATTTTATCTTACAACTGATCATACTTTATTGTGTGGGATAAAACACTCGAACCACTGGAGATCCAACTTGTGATCTGATTCTGTGACTTCTTTAATTGCTGCTTTGAACAGCTTTGTGTGATTGACTTGTCCAAGAACTTTTGAATTTTTATATCTTATACTGATGTATAAAGTTTTAAAATAAAACCGTTTCAAAGTAGAAGTGGGGGAAGTTTTTAATATATTAGCTTCTTATAGAATCAGGCGTTAAATAATAAGAAACCAAGTAAATTACAAAGATCTAATTGGTTTAACAAAGGATTCATGAATCAGGCAGCTTCCCATTTATCTAGCAAGTAGAGGAGAACTCCAAGACCTACGGAAAAAGAAAGGTTTGTAAAGGTAGGGAGAGGGAGCGGAGAAAGGGAAATTATTAGCAAAGAATCTGTTATTTGAGGCAAGGTCGCTTTCCTTAGGAGGACAGAAAGGCCTGTCAGTACATGGCCTGCTGCTGACCAGGACATTCCCATTATCACCAGGTACAGGTCAGATTTCAGCTGGGAGGAGGTTGAAACTGCGGTTAGCTTAGGTATTAGGTCTTGGTTTACTGACTTGGGACCTTTACCTAAGTGATGCCATGTGGGGCCTGTGGTTTTATTTTTGACAGGGCTCCAAAGACATAACCAAATGTGCCAGTGGTCCATTAGGAGCAGACTGGATGGCCTCTGGTCCTTGTAGTTACGAACATGCGCATCTTAGGTCAGCGGCCCTCTGGTTCTGTCTGACCCAACCCTGGAATGAAGCAAAATGGGACCAACGATCTACAGGGACAAAGGTACATTATCTTAACAAGGAAAAGACTTCACATTTTCGAAAAGTGAACATGCATACATAGGATTTCAATAGTAGAGATATGCATTAGAGATCATGGTCATTTGACCCCAGATGGCTACAACCCAGTGGAGCTGCAGGACGGATGTCCCAGAGCCGGTTTCGGGTGCATCTTCCTCACCTGCCAGTGAGGGCCACGTGGCTACTTTGCAGATGAAAAGGACCAGACACAGTGGGTTGGTGTGTCTTGGGCCCAAAAAAGGATGAAGGGTAAGCCCCCAGACATGAGTCCAGGCTTCAAAAACAGAACTAGGGCCTGAGAGGTAGCAGACAGGTGAGGGCATCCAGAGTGCCCAGCTCTTCGGTCAAACACCTTTCTGGAACTTGCTGTGAAGTTCCTGCGTAGAAGTGATTAACAATTACAATCAGCGGACTTCGTTTAAATAAAGATTTCTTTCAATAATGTGGGTGGGCATATTTGCAACGACGTAGATGGAACTGGAGGGTATTATGCTGAGCGAAATAAGTCAAAAAGAGAAAGACATGTATCATATGACCTCACTGATATGAGGAATTCTTAATCTCAGGAAACAAACTGAGGGTTGCTGGAGTGGAGGGGGGTGGGAGGGATGGGGTGACTGGGTGATAGACACTGAGGAGGGTATGTGCCCTGGTAAGCGCTGTGAATTGTGCAAGACTGTTGAATCTCAGATCTGTACCTCTGAAACAAATAATGCAATATATGTTAAGAAAAAAGAAAAAAGAAGAAGATAGCAAGAGGGGAAGAATGAAGGGGGGGAAATTGGAGGGGGAGACGAACCATGAGAGACGATGGACTCTGAAAAACAAACTGAGGGTTCTAGAGGGGAGGGGGGTGGGAGGATGGGTTAGCCTGGTGATGGGTATTAAAGAGGGCACGTTCTGCATGGAGCACTGGGTGTTATGCACAAACAATGAATCATGGAACACTACATCAAAAACTAATGATGTAATGTATGGGGATTAACATAACAATAAAAAATTAAAAAAAAATAATGTGGGTGGGCATGTGGGAGGGGGGTGGGAAATTTTCCTCCACCCTCTTAGGATCTCTGGCCTGGCCCAGGAATTAAACTGACATAAGGTAAATTCACAGGAAAAAAAGTGCACAAGTTTAATTCAGTTTTTATATGCACCTGGGAGCCTTCATGAGAGAAGAAAGACCCAAAGAAGTGACCAGAGCTGGAAGCTCCTATACATTCTAGACAGAGAAATGATAAATTTGTAGAGAAATGACAAGACAAAGGGCAGTAAGTTGTGGGGAAGGACGAGGAGATACCTGTGGGGGCAGGAGGCAGAAGGAAGGGAAGATCAGGGTTATTTGGGAAGTGTGTTTGCACAGATGCGGTTGGGTGTGGACTCCCGGCCCCTGGTGATCAGGATGTTCTCTTGCTGGTTCCTTTCTCAGGGGAGAACCCCTTTCTAGGGGGAAATGTTATGACCTGCTTTCGGAAAGGGGATGTCAGAGAGCCCTTTCTACCTCTGCTGCTTCTCATGTGCCCTCAGCTGAAAATAACCAGTATGCCAACACGGCATATTCTGGGGGAGCGTGTCCTGAACCCCTCCAGCCTCACCGATCAGTTAAATGTCTTAGGAACAAACCTGGGATTTCCGGGGGAAGAAGGAATTCTGCCTCAAGGCTGTGGCATAGGGTGTGTGTGTGTCTGTGTCTGTGTGTGTCTGTGTGTCTGTGTGTCTGTGTGGGTTAGGGGGCTTGAATCCTATTGGCTCTGTGTCTCTGGAGAATTCAGACTGATGCACAGCCCCATCTTAGAGACCCGCCCACCATCTCCCGTTTTCCTGCCTATCTTTCTCATGCCTGTTTCCCTTCTTTGCAGAAAAAAAAGCAGGTGATTAGATTTCACTACATTTTTAGTTTCATTCCAGTTTAGCCTGAGAGCTTTATCATTTGGTTTCAGGGTCAGTGTGCTTCTGGTTGGGCTTTTAGTGCAGCTGGTGCCCTCGAAGGACGGATGTTCCAGAAACCTGGCAAACTCGTGTCACTGAGTGAGCAGAACCTGCTGGACTGCTCTTGGTCTCAAGGCAACGAGGGCTGCTGTGGAGGCCTGATGGATTATGCCTTCCAGCACGTTCGGAACAACGGAGGCCTGGACTCAGAGGAATCTGATCCATATCGTGCACAGGTGAGTGGAGCTCCTCACCTGTTATCATTTCAGCTCTGCTCTCAGAGTTGTATGCTTTTGAAGAAAACGGATACCATATTTAATATTTGCATTTTAAATGGTGGACTCTACAGCTGTAAACTGTCAGAACCGTCATTAAACCATATTAGCCGGGTACAGCTCTCTGCCTAGATGGTTACCACGGGGCTGTTTTTATTTCTATGCTACAGGGAGATATGCACAGCGTTCTATATAGCTTACAGATTTCTCCCGAGTGAAAACATTCTTTTTTTTTTTTTAAAGATTTTATTTATTTGACAGAGAGAGAGAGAGCGAGAGCAGGAACACAAGCAGGGGGAGTGGAAGAGGGAGAAGCAGGCTTCCCGCCGAGCAGGGAGCCCGATGTGGGACTCGATCCCGGGACCCCGGGATCATGATCTGAGCCAAAGGCAGACGCTAAGGACTGAGCCACCCAGGCGCCCCGGGAGTGAAAACATTCTTAAGTACACGTAGACCCAGAATAATTCATCGAATACACACAAGGTAGTTTTTCAGTTTCAAAACAACCACCAGCATTTCAGCTCCTGGATGCGTTACGACAAATTGGCTTGGAAATCCCTTACCCGTAAGCTGTCTTGAACTCATGTTCCCCAGGAGGTGGATGGTAGCAATCAAGTCTCTTCCCCTTTCCATTTGAAAGGACGGATCCTGCGAATACACGCCGGAGTATTCTGCTGCCAGTGTCACTGGCCTCGTGAACATCCCTCAGCAGGGGGCGTCCCTTCTGGTGGCGGAGGCAGCTGTGGGGCCCGTCTCTGCCGCTGTCCCCGCAAGCCTGGATCCCTTCCGGGTCTATAAAGAAGGTAAGCATTTGTCTATGTAGAGATACAGGTAGGAAAATTGGAAAACCACACTAACATACAGCAAGAGTGACACTTTGGTATGCAGAATTCAATGTAGAATTTGGGGGGGGGGGTGGATTTAATGTAGTTGTTCATCCTGTACGCGTAATATTTCTGCCCGCCCTTTCCACTTGCCATGACTTGACCCAAATTCCCATGATTTTAAACACATTATAAGTATATTTAAATGGCTACATAATTTGATTGGTATAGCTCGCTTTACTTTTTTCCAATTGTTGGATCTTGAAAATTTTTAAAGAATGTTACTACTGAACTTAACACTGGAAAGAAGCCCTTGGCCCAAGTAATTTTGTGTTCTCTGATGTTTCCCTAGGCTCACGTCCTTTAAGGAGAATCATAAGGTTGTGGCAGGTGGTTTTTTATGTCTCTTGACTACTGTTTACAAAAGAGATTGTGACAATTTGTATTTCTGCTAGCATTAGATGAGGGCCTAAACTGCCAGTCTAGCTAAACAAAACCACCTGACTTTTAAATCTCATCTGGATTTATATCACGGTTAAATTTTGATACTTCTCCCTTACCGTGGTTGATAGGCTGGGTTACTATCACATGTCACATGGGAACCCTCACCCCAACATTGGATTTTACTTTCCAGGCATTTATTATGATCCAAACTGCAGCAGTGAAGACCTGGATCACGGTACTCTGGTGGTTGGCTATGGCTCTCAAGGAGAAGAACCCGAGAACCAAAAATACTGGATTGTCAAGAACAGGTATAAAAAGCCAAGAATACTTATCTTGGAAATCGAAAAGGATTTGGAATCAGTGTTTGGAGGCAGGTCCCCCAACTCTTGAGCACACTTCTGAAATCCCAGCAGGGTTTACCCCACTTAGCTGGAACACAGACATATTCACGTGATGACCACAGTAAGATACTATCTCAAGCTTGCTAGGGTCCTGCGATAGTTTTGGTACCATTGCATTTCTAAATTGGACTTTTTAAAAAAATTTCCGAACCACATCTGGCCCCAAGAGTTTCCTTTTCCTGCTCACGTTGCAGTTTTGTGAAAGGTCTGGGATAGAAGTATTGTGTGCTGGGTTAGAACGCACGCATGAACAGGAACGGCCTCTCCGGATTCTTCCGGAATCTGTGCTGGCCTCTGGCGCACTGCTCAGTATCAGGTGTGATTGTTCATGAAGAGAAATGTGTCGGATTGTTTGTAGTAATTGGCAAACGCTGTCTTCTTCCAGCGGGGGCAGGGACCGGGGCACGCAGGGCTACGTGCTGTTGGCCAAGGACCGGGACAACCAGTGTGGAATCGCCACCATGGCCCGCTTTCCTGTCGTGTGAGCTGAGGATGCAAAGAAGGCCTTGACTGGGGACAGAATGTCTGGAAAACGAATTTTATTTTAAAGCTGACCACACCTTACTGTGTGGCTGAAACACTTGAATCACCGAAGATCCCACTTATGATTTGATTCTGTGACTGTTCACACTGGAGACATCACTACTTCCTTACTCCCTGCTCTAATCAGTGTTGTGTGAGTCACTTGCTTCATGACTTTTGAATTTTCATGTTTTAAAAGGTTGCAGAAAGTTCCACCTTTTAAAATATGGGGCGCCTGGGTGGCTCCGTCAGTTAAACATCTGCTTTCGGCTCAGGTCATGATCTCTGGGTCTTGGGATCAAGCCCCATGTTGGGCTTCCTGCTCTGCAGAGAGTCTGCTTCTCTCTCTCTCTCTCTCCCTCTGCCCCTCCCCACCAATCTTTCTTTCTCTCTCAAATAAATAAATAAAATATTTTTTAAAATAAATAATAAATAATATTTACTTGCATATGCTGAGGTGTGATTCTTTCTGTTTTCTTAAGATTTTATTTATTTGAGAAAGAGAGAGAGAGAGCATTAGTGGGGGGAGGGGCAGAGAGAGAAGCAGGCTCTCCCACTGAGCAGGGAGCCTGATGCACGGCTCTATCCCAGGGCTCTGAGATCATGACCTGAGCTGAATTCAGATGCTTAACCCACTGAGCTACCCAGGCACCCCTTTCTGTTTTTAATACACAAACTTCTTTATAGTTAAAAATGTAATGGTCTGTAGGGAGGAAGAAATCATCTTATTTCCTCTAAAATTCTTCCAACTGGTTTGAGAATTTAATTGACATGAGACAGATTAATGGGAGAAAAAAAACCCACGAAGTTTTATTACGCAGGCACAGAGGGCCAAAGAAATGACCAAGGAAGGCAGAGTTGTTTTGTTTGTTTTGGCAGATGTTATAAATTTTAAACAAAGACAATAATGTGTGAGAAATTGACAGGATAGAGAAAACAGATGTGTGAGAGCTTTAAATCGCAGGAATTCTAAGTGGAATTTGGGCTGAGGTTGTAGATTAGTAAAAAAGCCACAAGGTTTGTTTCTATGGCTTTCTGAGCTTTGAAGTCCCATCTGTGCTGCTAAGGATGTGTTTTTACTTCGTAGTACAGGGAGGGTACCTCTCATATGGGAGACACGTTTCCTGCTTTCGGGGGACAGAGGACAGTCTGGGTGTCCTCGCACCAGCTCTTTCCCAAGTAGCTTCGATTCTAGATAATCAACGTACCATTGTGGCACATTTTGGGATGTCCTCTCTGGACCCCACAGTTTTAGAGTTTCTCTAAAACTCTCCTGGACGTTTTATAGACTACTAGCTGAGCTGGTGACTGTGGAGAGAGAAATCCCGTTAGTAAATGAGTGGTAAGAAATCTGCAAACAGTGAAGAGAGCATAGATTAGAATGAGGGTGAATAAAAGGGGTACAGGCTTCCAGTTATGGAGAATAAGTCACAGGAATAAAAGGCACAGCATAGGGAATATCGCCGATGGTGCTGTAAGTGCGTTGTACTCGTACCGTGAGACTGACAAACAAGAGCTACCCCTGTGGTGAGCATAGCTTACTGTGTAGGGTTGGCAGATTACTGTGTTGTGCACCTGAAACTAATGTAACATTGGGTGTCATCTATACTCAAAACATTTGGGGGGGAAAAAAAGGCATGAGGATGAATAAACAGAAAAGAACACATTTCCCCACACCTCATGGAACCAGTCCCACAACCCTCGAAACAGACCAGCCCAATCAAATGTCTGTGTTTCATTTATCTGTTGGAAAATATTAGTCCTTTTTTTTAAAAAAAAAAAAACAGATTTAAGTTAGATATTGTGTGTCTCACGGGTTTACCTAAAAGCAACATTTTTCACTGATGATTGGGCAAGCGCCCCTGCTGGGAAGACCCTGTCCTAGGACGTGATGATTTGGAGATTCGGATTCCCGCAGAGGCTGTTACCTCCTGACTGGAGTATTCTCAAAGCTAGCATAGTGGTACTGAACCTCGTTCCATTACCAGAGAGAGTTTTAGGATTGCCTTTTCTAATTCACAATCTCTGAAACTTGGGAATAAGATCCTTAATGCTGAAAAGAACTTGGAATTCTGATACATCAGCAGATTTTCTATGATTTTTCAACAGGCATGTTTGTGTGGCACAATGAACAAGTGTAATTTGGCGGGCATTTAGGGTGGAGTGCTTGGTCCCAGAGGAGTCAGGGATCCAAGTCCATATGGTCGTGACCATTCAGGTGGGACCCCTTTCTATGCTTTTGCTGCCACATGAAATAAAAAGACCAGCGTGGTTTATAGACAAGGTTAGGTTGGAACCTGTGATTTTCAAAGTCTGGGGTGTTCCATGACCTTTGCCATTGCTGGTGTTAATGTCCTTACATCTCCATTTTTCTTGTGATCCTGTCAGTCTGTGAGAGCAGAACAAGCTGCAAAATAGCTGATGTAAGAGGCTTGTGGTTTGGCTCTGGCGGCTGGGAAGTTTAGTTTAGTCACCCAGCCACGTAAGCCCAGATTTTTGGTCCACATTTTTGGGTGGTCTGCCTTTGATCAGTATAGTTTCTTCCTCTGAAATTTTCCTGGGAGTTTCACACATTCAAAGTTGAGCTGATAGATTGTTTCATCCCCTTGAACCAGTCTCTTAGTTCTGACAGTGGGTCAGTTCAGTCAAATTCACTTCAGGAGGAGGTGAATCAGGTGTGTTCTCAGTTAGGCCTCTGCTTCAAATGATAGGTAATAAGAGGCAATTCAGGGGCGCCTGGGTGGCTCAGGCAGTCGAGCATCCTACTCAGTTTTGGCTCAGGTCATGATCTCAGGGTCCTAGAATGGAGCCCCATGTCAGGCTCCATGCTCAGCAGGGAGTCTGCTTGAGATGCTCTCTCTCCCTCTGCCCCTCCCCCCGTTTGCTGTCTCTGTCTCTCTAAAATAAATGAATAAATCTTTAAAAAACAAAAAAGTGTCAATCCTATGGCAATAAAAGCAAAATAGTGGTTAATGAGTGGGTCAAATTATAAACCAGTTTCTGAGTTCTGAGGGTAGCCAGTTGAGAGAATTTCTAGATGTTGCTCTTAAAGCATCTTTAGACAGAGGAAGAGTAGGTAATGGCAGTCTGACAGATTTTCTTGGCTTGTAATTTGAGTGTCCCTGGTGATTTTCTTTTTAAGATTTATTTATTTATTTATTTATTTATTTATTTATTTGAGAGACAGAGAGAGCACAAGCAGGGGGAGAGACAGAAGCAGAGGGAGACGGAGAAGCTGACTCCCCACTGAGCTGGGAGACGGACATGGGACTCGGTCCCAGGACCTGGAGATCATGACCTGAGCTTAACCATCTGAGCCACCCAGGCGCCCCTCTCTGGTGATTTTTTGAGTGGCCCAGAGAGAAACAGGCACGAAGACTGTCTATACATGAGCTGTTGTGGTGATTTCTCTGAGGTGTCCATCAAGTTGTTCGTATGCAATTTGCAGGGCTTCAGGAAAAAGGGTACATTTAGTGATCCAATGATTCCAAGTCAAAAGGGTGGGGAAAAGGGCGCCTGGGTGGCTCAGTTGGTTAAGCGACTGCCTTTGGCTCAGGTCATGATCCTGGAGTCCCGGGATCGAGTCCCGCATCGGGCTCCCTGCTCGGCAGGGAGTCTGCTTCTCCCTCTGACCCTCCTCCCTCTCATGCTGTCTGTCTCTCATTCTCTCTGTCTCAAATAAATAAAATCTTTAAAAAAAAAAAAAAAGGGGTGGGAAAAAGTGGAAAACATCAGTTTGGAGAATTGTAGCCAGGCTTTGGAGGAAACTAGAAGAAATTAGGATCTAGTCCCGTTTATAGTGAACTCTGTTAGAATCTAATATCCACAAGGGTGTGTTATTGAAACATAATTTTTCTCTCTATAATCACCCCCATTTTTACCAAGGACAGCCAAATTAAGACTAATTTATTTGCGAAATCGAGTTGTTGTTGCTGTTTTTGTTTTTTTCACTTGGCCTGATTATCAAATTGCTGTAAGTCATAGCTTAAGAGAAAAGTTTCCTAAGATTCCTTACTAATTAAAGCTCCCAAACATCGGTTTTCTTTATCCTGTTAATTCATCATGAATTTCTGTCTCTTTGTCTACAGTGTATAAAAGCTGCCTGCCTTGCTTATAGACTCAGATATAAGTTTTGGACTGTTTTTCCAAGGGGCTTTATTGGCTCCATAAAGTCTGCCTGAGTTCCTTAGAGCAGTCTAGTCCTATCTGAGTCTGTGCATGTCCCCTCTCAAATATGACATTTCAGTCAAAGCCTTGGTAATATAACCAGTGTTTCCAATTGTGTCCTGTTACAAGGAGAGCAGATTCTTATTAAATTTATGCAAATAAACATATCATCATGAAAATATAAGTATACTCCCTGAAAGTTTTAAAATTCTGGACAGAACAGGTAGGGAGGAAAAGATAAATGTTCCAGTTTTTTCACAAAGGTATATTTTATCCAATTGTTGTAAGTTATAGCTTAAAAGAAAATAGCTTCTTTAATACTGGAAAAAGGCATTTAATAAATCAACAGTGTCTCAAACAAAAATTTTATAAAAATTATAATCATCCTCCATTCATTGAGTTCCAAATGATTAATTCTTGTTTTGCTTGAATCCAAATCTCCCAGTAGCTCCAGAAATTCTTACCCAGTTCAGTTTTATGGTCTTAAGTTTATCAGAAACCTATATTCAAGAGTTCTTTCCATCAGTCTCACTGTAGATGAAGCACATTTGCAGAAAGCTTTGCAAAAGCATCTGAGTAAACCTATAACTGCCTGTAAATTATAAAAGACTTAAAAACGGCCATGCTTAAAGACCTGATGAGAGATCATTACAATGTAATTTACAAAGAAATTGGTTATTTCTATGACACACAACAGTTCAAGGTAGTAATACATCAGGACATATCAGATTTCTAGGAGTTTCATACAACTTCTAGAACACTCATTTTAATAACATATTTCTATATAAATATAATCTAAGAGTGCTTAATATCACTTATTTGACACTGCTTCCTATGTAATTTAACATGCCAAATAAGCCTTATTAGTGTAATATCTTCCTTTTTTTATAAAGTGGCCAAATCTCTTGAAAATGTTGCACAGATCCTCTGGAATATTTTAGTTACATTGTAGTCAAATACTTCATTTTAGAATTAGATTTTGGAAAGTTTGTGTTAAAAAAATCAAAATATTTGAACATCTGATTAAATATGATCGTAGATCATTAAGCAACGATATTTATCTATTCAACTGAAGGGAAAATAAAAGGTTGTTTTGGTTTTTTTAAGAAAAGTAAGTTTTTATTCCCCTGTTTCACAAATAAAGTGGGCTGGATCGGTTGCTTTTTTGGTGATTAGTCAAAGAGACCAAATCCCATATCCTCGTCCCACTCTTCTGAATCTTCCTTTGCTTCCACCTTGGCTGTGGCCATGGCAGCCACGGGAGCGGTAGCCACGAATGCAGGTGGATCAGCCAAGAAGGCCTTGACCTTTTTAGCAAGTGGAAGGTGTGATCAGTCTCCACAGGCAACGCCAGGACCTCCTTGTATCTGTTGATGGTAGAATGGGGCACTGATACAACAGTCGGGTAACCTATCTGCAAGACATCCTCGGGCAACCCTGCAGATGCCCTCCGGGAAGCGAGAATGCATTTGCCTCTGTGATGTCAAGCCCTTCAGGGTTGTAAAGCCACTGTAGTGCAACACCTGCTGGACGACCAGCCCGAAGGACAAGGGGAAGATGTTCAGCTTATTCAGCTGTGTGGCTTCGCTGGCTCCCACTCTGTCTCCAGTCTTAATCAGCTGCACCTCACTCAGGATTTCAGTGGTGCCCCTGGAGATTCTAGTGGTGATGTCTAAAGTCTGGAAGTAGGAGGCCTTCTCAGGCCCCCAGGCTGGCATCGCGACTTTACTGGGACTATGGCACCGGTATCAGCGGCAGCTGGCACCTTATTGATCAAGAGCATGTCCCTGATCTCAGTGAGGTCCTCCTTGGTGAACACGAAGCCCACATTCACCCAGATATGAGGCACTAGTTTCTCGAGAGCTGGGTTGTTCTCTCTGGATGCCCTCAGATGGCCTTGAACGTCATGGTGTTCTTGCCCTCAGCACCACAATCTTCCCGTGGAGGGACATGCAGATCTGCTGTGTCTTCTTGGAACCCATGTTGTCGGCTCCACAGTGGAGCATTTGGATGATCATCCAAAAGTTGGATGATCTTAAGGAAGTAGTTGAACTTCCAGGTCGTGCTGTCTTCCTTGGGCATCATGGCCGAGCATCAGGGATGGGCTTGCAGGGTTGAAAGATGATGTTCCTCTCACAGGGACGCCTGGAGAGAGGAGGGCCAACAATAAAACATTTTAAAGGCAAATGCAGAAGGTTACACAGTTGTGAACAAAATTCAGCTCTTTTAATATTAAGACTCAGGTTTCTTGAATAATCTGATGAAGACAAAGCATTAAAAGTTTGTATATCTAGGCCATTGGCCTTTACATTAAATGTAAGGAAAAACTTTGTTTTTAATTTTTTGTAATAAGCAAACCAACAATCTAAGAAAATTTTTTGTCTGTAAAAAGAGAAAAAACCTAAGTTCTAATTTTGCATCAGTATACTTTTGGTATTAAAACTCATTCTTTAATAAAATCTTAAGTAAAATCTATTTTGGCATGGCTTGTAAGAATCCAGGCAGGTTTCTCTTTTGTTCTGATGGCAACACCTCATAAGGTCCTTCCCAGGGAGGTGACAGCATATGCTTTTTTCCAAAGACCTTGATGTCTACTTGGTCTTCTGGCTGAAATGTGTGGCAAGCCTCATCAGTTGGTGGAGGCCATGCCTCTTTTACCTGTTGGTGATGTGCTTCAGGTAGATGAGGTATTCCTTGTCTAGAGTTAGTCATAGCATCACATTTTTCACTTACTCCGTGAATGGAAGGTTTAGAGATGCCAGTAGGCTTTGACGACCAAACACTATTTCAAAAGGGGTTGATCCATGTCTCCTACTTGGAGTATTCTGGATCTTAATAAGGGTCAGAGGCAATGTCGTTGGCCATTCATGCTTAATTTCTTGGTATTTCCCTACAGTCCTTCTTATGTCTAGATTTTTACGT